AGATAGATAGATAGATAGATAGATAGATAGATAGATAGATAGATAGAGCAGCACAACTGGTAAAGCTGCTGCCTCTCAGAGAGCAGGTCCCTGGTTCAAATCCTGGTCCGGGGGCCTTTCTGGGTGGAGTTTGCATGTTCTCTCTGTGCATGCGTGGGTTTTCTCCAGGTACTCCAGTTTCCTCCCACAGACCAAAAACATGCATGTTAGGCTGATTGGTAACTTTAAATTGTCCCTAGATGTGAGTGAGAGAGTGAATGGTTGTTTGTCTCGTTTGTCTCTATGTGGCTCTGTGATGGACTTGTGACCTGTCCAGGGTGTACCTCTCCCCTCGCACAATGATTGCCGGACATGGGCACCGGCGACCTCCGTGACCCAAAATGGAAGAAGCGGGTAAAAGATAATGGATGTATGTATATATATATATATATATATATATATATATATATATATATATATATTAGGGATGGGGCCGATCCGATCCAGTATCGGTATCGGCCTCCGATACCAGCATAAATTACGTATCGGATTTTTCCGATCCAATCTGCCAATATTTCCGATCCGTGATGCAAGTTGGCTTCAAACTATGGAATGGATTTCCTGAACGGCGGCGTGAGTCATGAACCCAGAATAATAAGACCCGCCTCACATTCAGGAAATCCATTTCATAGTTTGCAGCCAGCTACAACGTGAGGACTGAGTTAGCAGCACTGTGGCTAACAGCTAACCAACTTTTCATATAAACATGTCCACTGTGTGGAAGTATTTTACACTATAAACACCACAAAACAAGACAGCAACGTGCAATGTCTGCAGAGCCATAGTGCCACATTAAACCGCGGTAAAGTTAGTTTTATGTTGGACATTCGAGCTCCGTGGCTTCAGCGGGGCAGTACTCTTTGCTCAAGCCACAGCAGGCGACTCGACCCCAGCCAGTCGCATCCAATCTGCCCCGCTCAGTCTGCCCATCTCCGAGGAGGGACAGACTGAGCGTGGCTGCCCCAAATCAGGCTGCCTGCTTCGGATTGAACAAGAAGACATCGCTGAAACCACGGAGCTCAAATGTTTACAGAGAAGTTGCTAAACTTCATAATTAATGACCAACGACTATCAGTTGTAGAAAACGAAGGATTTCAGTTTGATACTTGCAGCCAAGATATAGTTTACACTGCAGGAGATATTTATTAGTACAACAGTAGACAATCATAAAAAACATATGATTTGAAAATTATATTAAAAACAAAAAACAGCTACATTATAAAGTGGTGTAAAATACTAAAAACCGGAACATGTCTGTTGGTTTATGCCAGGTGTTTGAAGCCATTTAATATTTTATTTTATTAATTTATTCATTCATTTAAAAGAAACAAAATTTAAAAAAAAAAAATCATCAAAAAGAAAACATTGAATGAAAAGAGTGCAGAAAGAAGAAAAATAATTCTTATATCTGCCACTTATTTAAAAAAAATAAAATAACTTTAAACAATCACTTAAATTAATCACTTTAATATCCACTTTAAAGCTAGGAATAAAAATAAACATGTTTTGTGTTAGCAGAATTTAATTCTAACTTTAAAACTTATCCAACATTAATAAAACTTACCTCAAGTTGCCTTTTTGGACATGCATGCATATATTTGTACAAATTGTACTTGAGAGGAGATTATTACAGCCTCATATAAAATCAATGATGATCATGATATCAGAACTGGATCGGTATCGGCCGATATTCAGACTTAGGTATCGGGATCGGAAGTAAAAAAAGTGGATCGGTGCATCCCTAATATCTATATATATATAAATATGAAAATGAAAATGAGCTTTTGTTGTGAGTCACATGACCAGGACTAGATTTACTAATCTAGAGACAAAAAAACTACAAAAAATTTGCACAAGGTGGGTGTAGAAAGATATTCAGTGCTCGTAGTTTAGTTTCTGCAACTTGTCTACCTGGCAAACATGGTAAGGAATGTTTATTTTCATTTCATTTTGTAATAGCATATATGATTAAGGGACCCCACCATTCAAAAAAGCTCTTAAAAACGTCCCTGTTTTACCGACCCCCCCAATAATGAGGTGAATTTCAGCCAGGGCCAGGTCCTGGTGCTATCAAGGTGCCACTTATTGTTATGGGAATGCGCTGCTGTTCTATAGAGCATTGCGACAGTACATCTCAGAGATGAAAAAAAAAACTGCAGGAAAATCTTATTTGGACAATACCATAACCTTGTCAAAATTGCCTTCACATTGAAGGAAGTTGAACAGATCCAGAGCTGTGGTGAGCTACTTCCAGGAAACTTTTATAACAATTTTACTAGTGCAATGTTCAAACAGTATGTGTAACAGCAAATAATCATTAAACAAACTGGTAAGGGTTAATATACTGGTGCCCACTGACCTGCTCCCGGTGGTCCAACCAGCACAGCAATAGCCTCCATGAGCAGGACAAGTCCAATGGCACTGGAAAACTTTTCAGTACCAACTATTGCCATCAGAACCTCAAACTGCAATGCACCCACCATGCCATAAGAGATGCCAAAGAAAATGCAGAAAGCCACCAGAGATGGGTAATCCTTAGACTGAGAGAGACACAAGACATCATGAAGGATGAGCACCTTAAAGGTTTGCATCAGTAAACTAAATATTTCTTATTTTTTAATTTTTTTTTACAAGCTAGCATTTACCCACCTGTGAGCCAATTATGTCAGCGATTCCATTAAAGATCATTGCAAAGCTGAAAAAGTAAACACATCGAGGTCGGACCCATTTCAGTCCGGCGATCACGCCGCACGTGGGCCTGGCAAACATATCAACGAAACCCAGGATGGTGAGCAACAGGGCAGACTTGGTATCTTCATTTCCCAGCTCTTTAGCGTAGCTCACAACAAATACTGGGGGCACAAACAAGCCCAGCACCATGATGGACGCTGCCACGGTGTATATAAGGAAGCCACGGTCTTTGAACACAGAGAAGTCCAACAGTTTGGGTTTAGCCTTCTTCTTGTTTCCTTCTGCCTCTGGTTCATTGTTATCATCCTGTCCCAGCTCCTTGCTCTGGAGAGACTTGGGAGGGACCAGAGGCTTCATGAGGGCCCCACAAACGCAGCAGTTCAACAAAATACCTCCAAGAATGAGGAAGCCTCCCCTCCATCCATACTGGTACTGAAGAACTTGGCCCAAGGGGGACAGGCAGCACAGGGCCACAGGGCTGCCAGCTGCTGAAAGCCCATTGGCCAGAGGACGCTTCTCACTGAAGTAGCGGTTCAACATAATTAGAGATGGTTGGAAGTTCAGGGCTAATCCCAGACCTGCAGCAAAGGCAAAGAAAGTAGAATAATTCTGAAATAAATAAATAAAAAAACACATTTACATTCATCCATTCAAACAGCACTGCCGTGCAGAAACAGAAAATCAGTTTTGACTTTAAAAAATAAATTATACTGAAATATGGAGTTTTTATTTTAATTTTATCCGAAGGACCTTAAAGAGTTACAGTAAAAATATTTTAAATTTGATATTTTTATTTCAGGCTAAAATTGCTCTAAAAGACTCGTTCACTTCGGGAAATAAATTTTATTTTGTATTTAAGCAGTTAAATAGGGTGGTTTATTTTCCCCCTAAGGTACATGAAAGGTCACAGAGTTAAACAATACAAGGGTTAGCAGTGTTCCAAATATAATAATTTAACCTCCCTCTTGCAGGTTTAATGTGTAAAATATTTATTTCAGACTATTTTCTTTTCTCCAGCCATCCATCATCTTCCACTTGTTCCAAAGTCAGGTCTTGGGGGCAGCAGCTTGAGCAGGGAGGTCCAGACATCGCTTTCTACAGCCACCTCTTCCAGCTCTTCTGGGTGGACCCCAAGGCATACCCAGGCCAACTGAGAGACGTAGTCTCTCCAGCGTGTCCTGGGTCTTCACTGGGGCCTCCCCCAGTTGGACATGCCCATAGCACCTCAACTGGCTCCTCTTGATGTGGAGGAGCAGCAGTTTGATGACACCAACAGGATCACCTCATCTGCAAATAGCAGAGAAGGAATCCTGAGGCCATCGAACTGGACTCCCTCCGCCCCCTGGCTGCACCGAGAAATTTTGTCCATAAAAGTTATGAACAGAATCTGTGACAATGGGCAGCACTGGTGGAGACCAACTCCCACCTTGAATTGGTCCGACTTACTACCGGCAATGTAAACCAAACTCTCGCACCACTTGTAGGGACCGAACAGCCCGTAGCAATAAGACCCCCCATCCCATACTTGCAGAGCAACCCCCGCAGTGTATCTCAAGGAACACAGTTGAAAGCCTCCAATTCCACAAAACACATTAGTGCCACTTTTGCACAACTCCTACTCAGCCCTGATCAGATCAGCCTGATTTGCACTTCAGGACCGGTTCTGGAGTCGTGTCCAGAATCCAAAATCCTGCTCATGAACTTTTAATGAACTTTAGTTCACAGAGTGAGAGTTCTGTGATGAGTTAAACACAAAGCAGTCTGCTCCTCAGATAAATAATGTTAAATTATTATTTTTAAATATGAACTGTTAACTTATGTTTCTGTTCACCTGTCCAGGGTGTACCCCGCCCCTCGCACAGTGATTGCCGGACATGGGCACTGGTGACCCCCATGACCCAAAATGCAAGAAGCAGGTAAAAGATAATGGATGGATGGATGCACTCATTGTGCCTTTTACTGTTCAATATGTGGTTTTGTTTCTTGTATACAGATTTTATTTTAATGATTTAAAGTGTAATTCTTGTTTTATGATTTGTACATCTGTGGGCTAGAATAAAGTTGAACCAAAGGCTGTGTCTCTTCTTTAAACATGTTTGAGGGAAATATTCCTGAGAGATCCAATAATTTTGTCTTTTTATGATTTTTCAGCTGAGTTAACTTTAATTTGCAGATCATTAAATAAAGTCAAAGTGAAAACAGAATTTCATGATAAAGCCGGCACCTTTTATTTAATTTTATTCTTCACTGATAAAAAAAATTAAAAAAATTATACATAAAATGTTTTTTTTTTTATGTTTCCACCCTCCGTCCCAGACTCCCGGTCCTCCCGCCTGCCAGGGCTCGGGGTCCGGCCTCGCGTGCTTCAACGGGTCGTCAGCTCGTATGATCCTCCGCGGTGGCTCCGCTCGCTCAAATTTTGTCGTCAGTCTCCAAAACACAAAAAATGCCTGGACTTCAGCATTAAACACGGTGTTGTCGTTATTGTTTTTCAAATCTTAAAAATAGATCCAGCCGCTGCGCCGCATTCTGAGAAATTGCAAATGGCGGATTGGTGAAAAGTTTCTGAGATCCAGTGACTCCTCCCTCTGACCAATCAATGTCCTGCATTCACTCAGCTCGCACGGTCCCACTAGAGAAGCAGGGACCAAACAAGGTCCAGAATCAGCCACGAATCAGCTAAAAAGTACTGGTGCAAAAGGGATCTTTCCGTGGCGTGCTGAGTTGAGATGGGGCTGAGTAGGAGCAGTGCAAAAGGCCTATATGGTCATATGTAGTGACGTCACTACCATTCAAAACTAAACAACTCTTTGAACTGAATGTATCTACAAGGTCTGGCTCCCTTCAGAGACCCACATATAGTACAGTATCTCTATAAGGCAGGCAGCTACACTGAAATGTCTTCATTTGTGTACACTATACAAACCTGTAATGACTCCAGTAGAGAGATAGATGTGGATGATGCTGGTGGAGAAGGATGCCAGGATCATTCCAGAAGATGCAAACAAACCTCCCACCATCATCACTGGGCGGCAGCCAAAGCGGTTCACGAGCACGCTGCACAGAGGACCTGCACAGAGTGTAACACAGGTGGAGGTAAATCTGACTAACAGCAAATATGTTGCACCAAATATAGAAAGTGACAAGACAAAAATGGAGAAATTAATGTGCGCAAATCTCCACAAAAGGAAAGTTCAAGCAACATTTTGTCCTAATTTTCATAAACTTTCATAAACTTCTTTAGTGTGTGGAACTGGCATATCAGAAAAAATTAGGAGTCACTGAAGGACCCTTATTATTTTTATAGAACTCGTGGTTGAAAACACAGAAAACGCAAATATGAGTAATTTCTTGCAATTGCACTTCACCAACTAGTCTTTAACAGTCGCAGCCCTGTGAGATACGATGTTAATGTGAGCAATTTCTTCAGAATTTCTTTAATAACAAAACTTGCATAATTTGTTCTTAATGTCCATTGAGAATGAGAAATTAAATGCTCAGACTGGTGGCCATGCACCCATAGATGTGTCTGCAACACTGCAGTCTTGCACACTGTCAATGTTGAACAGTCTTAAAGAGCTCAAATTTGGATGACTGAGTCAAATTTGCAGTTTAAAAAAGTCCAGTAAGCAAATTAATTGTTTCCAGGTTGAAATTACTTTAATGGTCAAGATATACAAAACCTTGATATCGTTACAGAAACACAGAAAATAATTGAATCATGTCAGAGCTGAAGCTGATTAGTAGGTTGCTGATCTAAGTACAGGTATAACGTTCTAAACTGAGGCGCTGTAGCTTAGATGGCCAAAGCCCCTGTCTCGTAAACTGGACATCCTGGGTTGGAATCCCAGCAGAATATATGTTAATTTAACATCTAGATAGAGAACTTCGTACTTGAGAAGTAGACCTATTAATACAATATTATAAATTGCATATTAATTAAGAAGAGAACTTGGTTTTCTAGAAAGAACATAATACACAGTGTGCACCTCAATGTCTACCTGTCTTAATTCTTACATCAAGTATGCGTATCTTGAGGAAACACAGATAGAATACTCAATAACATCTGTAACAGGTGCTCAAGTTTAGATGGTCAAAACATCTGCCTTGTAAACAGGAGATCCTCTGGTCAAATCCCATCAGTGCCTTTCTTACTTCTAAGTAAACAATTTCAAATTTGCCCCTTTTTCAAAGTATCTAGGCTGAGTCTTGTATTGTTAATCGTTGTTAAAGCTATGCATGACATGGTTCCCTTGGAAAAGAAAAATACACAATGTGTGCTTTACTTTGTATGTTATCGGTCTTGATTCTTAAAACAAAATAGCAAGTATACTTATCTAAAGAATGTCAGGATAGAATATCCAAAATACTTAAGAGATGTGCTGTGGCTTAGTTGGTCAAAGCGCCTGTCTAGTAAACAGGAGATCCTGGGTTCAACTCCCAGCAGCGCCTGTCATCTTTTCTTGATGTCCATTGGAGAATTAGAAAATAAATGCTCAGACTACAGATTGGACACAATTGGTATTTTATTAAAATAATTTTTAGTTTGGCCAAAATGACTCTTCAGTATTTCTTAACGTAAAATAATAGTAATCTAAAACCATGGCATAAAAGACCGTGGGCCTTCAAGAAACACTAAGCTTTTAATAACAACATTAACAAGTGGAGAACTCATTCTTCAGGACAGTCGATTTTTGTTTTCAACAACCTGACGGACACGTAACCCATCAGTTCTCCTGCAGATTTATGGACACACATCACCATGGCAACAACACAAACAGTCCAGACTTCCGTTCAACAGTGAAACACTCCAGACGTGTACAGAGTGGAGGTTTGTTGCTTAGCAAAGATGGCTAACATTCAAACTATGCATTGTGTCAAATAATCCACCCCACCCTCAGGACAGTTCTGTTTGTAGGGCTTTAAAGTTCACAGTTGTGAGCTACAAGGCATGTGGACAAATATGATTCAACGAACGGAGTAAAACACCTTCACTGTAATGTCCAATGTTTCCATGCTCTTCTTCTCCATGTCCTTAATGTCCTTCAACTCAACCACCTGAGCAAATTTCCTCCATATATTCAAAACCAAGAGATTCATCACCACAGACAGGAAACCCAGAGCAAAACTCCTCACTGCAGACAAACTAAAGAGTCGGGGTGGAGGCTCAGACTGTGACATGTAGTCTGCATGTAGTCTATATCCACATGATCAGTGCCACATTTCCTTAGTACCACAAACATGGATCAATGAAGACATTTAACAGCAGTGAGACATTTCTCTTGGACTGTATGCAGCTTGAAATGTCATTAATATTTTAGTAGAAACTGCTGCTTGTTTCATCGCCCATCCTTCAGTATCAGACTCTCATATTACAACCACCCATTCATCCATTCATCCATTCATCCATCCATTCTCTTCTTCTCTACTTCTCTTTACCCGCTTCTTCCTTTCAGAGTCAAGGGGATCATTGGTGTCTATATCCAGCAGTCACAGTGTGAGCGGTGGGGTACACCCTGGACCAAGGGTGTCAGAAGCATCTGTAATGTGGGGGGGGGGACACACTATGTGTAGGTGTGTGTGTGCACGTGCGTATGTGCGCGTGCGTGTGTGTGCGTACATGCAAAAAAAGTATACACTAATGTTCAAAAAAGCAGCATTTCACCTAGATTTCCTTTAATTCCACACATTTAAAACACGTTTCTCACCAAGTTTGTGTAAATTCAGCTGTGGGTTTTAAAAACATTTCAACTTTAATGCACTTTACAACACAGCATCTCTTACACCTGCAGCGTATTACAGCGTCGCAGTTACTGCTAAGCTAAGATGCTACATATTGCTCCTTTCAAGCATCCTCCTAACCATGTATATATGTTTATGTTCAACCCCCGCCAGTCAACAACTGCCTGCGCTAAGCTCGCTAAACTGGCTAGCGAGCAACACAGAGCTGTCTCCATCTCCTCCACCTGTGCGCGTTTTCTGCCGAGGCAGGAGGAGACGTAGAGGAGAAACAGTGCAGGCTGCTGTGTTTAGAGTTGGAGGTAACCAGGAAAACCTGGAGTGGAGTTTTAGTGGTTTGAGTATTCTCCTATTAATCAAGTGGAATGGATTCATTCATGAGAAAGAGAAACTGCGCCGACTGAATTGATGTTTTATAGTAATGTGTGTGTGTGTGTGTGTGTGTGTGTGTGTGTGTGTGTGTGTGTGTGTGTGTGTGTGTGTGTGTGTGTGTGTGTGGTGGTGGTGGGGGTTCCAAATGAACGTTTTTTTAATGTGGGGGGGGGGGGGACTTGTCCCCTTCACATATAATGGTTGCGACGTCCTGAACAGGTCTCCAGTCCATCGCAGAGACAAATGAGACAAACAACCATTCACTCTCTCTCTCGCACCTAGAGACAATTCAGAGTTACCATCAGTCTAACATGGATGTTTTTGGTCTGTGGGAGGAAACTGGAGTACCCGAAGAAAACCCATGCATTCATGGAGAGAACATGCAAACTCCACCCAAAAAGGCCCCCCAACTGGGATTTGAGACAATGACCTTCTTGCTGAGAAGCAACAGCTCCACCCACTGATCCACCATGCTGTCCATTTGGGACATTGTGTAAAATGTAATTAAAAACCAAATGCAAACATTTGCCAATCTTACAAACTCATATCTTGTTCACAATGGAACGAAATAAACATTTCAAATATTGAAACTCTGAAATTGTACAAATTTTTGTGTAAACTACAGTAATTTGGAGTTTGATGGCAACAGTTTAAAAAGTTGGGAGGAGCCTTTTGCAACAAATGAGGTTTGTGGACAACAGGCCAGTAAAAGGACTGGGTAACAACAAACATTTTAAAGAGGTGAATCTTTTGAATGCCTGTGACCTTCAGGCTGCACTGCATTAAAAACACTGTGATTCTCAGGAACGTTCCCACAAATCATTGCCAATAAATTGTAGTGATATACTTAAATAAAGAGGTCTGTACATCCTATCAACAGGTGTGCTATTAAAATAAATGTGGATCAACCTCCATCAAAATAATGGTGGATTCTTGGCACGCCGTGATCGCCTCACTTGACTTCAACACACAAACCCGGTTGGTTAAAACCACACTTCTGTAACGTTTATTGTAAGTTTGAATAATAACAACAATATGAAATTATAACAAAAATGTTGAATGTGGATCAATAACAAGAACTATTATTTCAGAAGGTGGATGATGTAGAAATAACTTTAACTTTGAGGAGACACTTTAAAGCACATATGTCAAACTCAAGGCCCGGGGGCCAAATGTGGCCCTCATTAACATTTTCTCTGGCCCCCAAGATGATGTATTAAATGTTAAATGCTTTTATCACTTGAATGTTTTTAGTAATCTTTCATTATGATGTTGAAAGCACAACAGAGAACATCAAATGAGACCAGTCAAACTGTTGTTGAGGAACCTGTGACCAAGAGAAGATGTTGGATATCTGACTTGAGTTAATGTAGATTCTGAAAGTGGCCCTTAGTTTGAACTAAGTTTTTAATTTCGGCTTCCTTTTGTAAGTGAGTTTGACACCACTGCTTTAAAGAAAAACAGTTTGTTTAACCTTTTAACAAATAACAGAAATTAGGAAAGAACTTAAACATTTATTCAGTTTCTTTTGTGAGATTTGATCAGTGGTGGGTTTTCACATAATCCTGCTGAACATAAGATAAGCTTGATAAGCTTTGCAGAAGGTAGATCCTGTGAGGAGCCATCTTGTCTGGCTTGCTCAGGAAAGAGTAGATAAACATTGAGGGAGAGGAAGAGTTTATTTACATGCTGTATAGTTCAGTGTCTCTGGGGCCAGGATGTGAACGTTCTGAGGGATGTAGGACACTACAAGATATAGTTGACCCTCTCCAAACACAGATTAAAGCTCTCTCATGCAAAACAGAAGTCACGTGTGAACACCATCCAGAATTTCTGCTGTCTGCTCTGGACCAAAGATCATCTAAAATGGACTGAGGCTAAATAAAATAAAATAAAAACTGTTCAGTGGTCAGAGGAACTAGAAATTTGAAATTCTTTTGGTAACCACAGAAGCAGTGTCCTCTGTAATAAAGAGGCGAGGGAGCATCTGGCTGAAGTTTGCTCATCAATAAACAGCATTTGTACATTTTACCATGAGCTGATGTTCTGCTGCAGTTTGAGCTGAGATGAAAACTAATCCTGTAAGAAACTCCACGTCACATTTCTCAGAGAAGTTTGTAGGTTAAATCTGATCAGCTTGGTATAAATGTGTTTAACATTTTATTATTATATTTATTTTCTCTACTTATCTTACATTTGTTCTGCCTGCAATAGTCGATCCAGATGTTCCTTTTCCACGCTTTTATATTTTATAATTGTGCACTCAGATTTTGTTGTTAGTTGAAGGATTCAAGGTTCTTTATTTGTCGTTTGTGTACACAGGGTCCCAGTTACATCCAACAAAAGTATAAAATGTAAAATAAAAACAGTAAGTTATGAACTAAGAAAAACTTGAACTAAAAATATGCTAAGCACTAATAGCATCAAAACAATACGCTGAACAGCAGCACGAACATGAGTCTGTGTGAGCAGAAGAGCACGAACGAACACAGCAACATGAAACAGATCAGCAGCAACATGAAACAGATCAGCAGCAACATGATGTGATTTTTTTTTCACAGTGATTATCCTGATTAGAGATTCATGAGTCTAACAGCCTCAGGGTAGAAGCTGTTCCTCAGTCTAGTGGTTCTACACTTAATGCTCCTCAACCTCCTTCCTGAGGGGAGCGGGGCAAAAAGTGTGTGTGCTGGGTGAGTGGGGTCCTTCATGAGGCAGGTGGTCCTCGTCCTGCATCTAGAGGTGTAGATGTCTGTGATGGTGGGGAGACTGACTCCAACATCTTCTGTGCAGCCTTCACCACTCTCTGCAGAGCTTTTCTTTCTGCAGCTGTGCAGCCTCCATGCCACACGTTGATGCTGGAGCACAGGATGCTCTCCACTGCACACCTGTAGAAGGAGGTGAGGACTGAGCTTCCCAGACCAGCTCGCCTCAACCGTCTGAGGAAGTAGAGTCTCTGATGAGCTTTATTGATCAGGCTGGTGGTGTTGTTGCTCCAGCTGAGGTTGTCGTTCAGGTGTACACCCAAGTACTTGTAGCTGGAGACCACTTCTACCACAGATCCTCCTATGTCTGGGGGTGGGGTGTGTCTGGTCCTTCTCAAGTCTATGACCATCTCCTTCATCTTCTTCACATTGATGTCAAGGTTGTTCTTCCTGCACCAGCTCTCCAGGTGTTCCACCTCCTGCCTGTAGCTGGACTCATCATTGTTTGTGATGCATCCCACCACTGTATCATCTGTAAACTTCACAACGTGACAGCCTGGATGGGTAGCTGCACAATCATACGTGAGCAGAGTAAACAGCAGAGGGCTCAGCACACAGCCCTGAGGGGAGCCAGTGCTGAGGGTTATGGTGGAGGAGGAGAAGTTGTGGATCCTCACAGACTGAGGTCTGTTTTGCCCCTTTTCCACTGTGACGGTGCGGATTGGTTCACCTAAGATCAGCTGGTTACACGTCGCATTCCCATTGTGACCAGTTCTGTAGGCGGGTCCAGATTCCAACTCGCCTTACCACCTGGTGACGATTAAATATAGTTTAGTAATACATGTTGTGTGTGTGTGTTTCAATGATTCTCCAGCAAAATAATGGCAGCAGTGTTCATGTCCAGCTCTGGAGCAACAGTGTGCCATTAAAGATAAAAGAGGCTGTTACCTTCCATCCATGTATCATTTCAGTATAAACGTTGATAATAAAGATGTATTAAAAATATCTTGACTTTTGTTATGACATTTTAGTTATTTACCAAACACTGTAGATGGAACATCTGGATTTAGCTCATAATCATGACTTAATCTTGAAACACGTTTCATATACAGGGTGAAAATTTATTTTGAAGTTTCTGGTAAATTAAAAAGAATACAGATTATTAAAATGATCAAATTAATCTATATATATATAAATCCTACTAATGAAGTTTTAATGAACTTTATTTCACCATTGAGAGTGAGAGTTCTGCGATGAGTTAAACTCAAAGCAGTCTGCTCATCCGATAAATAATGTTAAACTATTATTTTTAAATATGAACGTTTCTGTTCACTTATTTTAAATATGAACGTTTCTGTTCAGTTTCCTGAGACGACTTCTGTTGTGACTTGACGCTAAATAAATAAACTGAATTGAATTAAATCTCTGATGAACCAATTCTACAAAAACATCTATATTTAAAATTTCTGTATCTCTTCTTTACACATGTTTGAGGGAAATGTTCCTGAGAGATCCAATAATTTTGTATTTTTATGATTTTTCAGCTGAGTTATCTTTAATTAATAGATTATTTAATAAACTCAAAGTGAAAACAGAATTTCATGATAAAGCCGGCACTGTTTAATTAGTTTTAATCTTCACTGATAAAAAAACACATTATTTTTTTTATACATAAAATGTTAAAAAAAAAAGATTCCACTCTTCGTCCCGGTCCATCCGTCTGCCAGGGCTCGGGCCCCGGCCTCGCGTGCTTCAACAGGTCGGCAGCTCGTATGATCCTCCACGGTGACTCCGCTCACTCTGAATTTTGTCGTCGGTCACCAAACACAAAGAATGCCTGGACTTCAGCATTAGGACAAGGTGTTGTCATTATTGTTTTTAAAATATTAAAAATAGGTCCAGCCACTGTTCCAAGTAATTGCAATTTGCGGATCGGTAAAAAGTTTTCTGAAAGATCCAGTGACTCCTCCCCTTGACCAATCAGTGATCGACAGTGTTCTGACGTTACGGTTTTATGCAGGCTCGGCTCGCTTGGACCCCTTGAGAAGAAGGGACAAAAAAAGGGGGTGAAACAGGTACAAAGTACTAGTGGAAAAGCGCTCAAAACCGTGGTGAACCGAGCATATTTGACCCGCACCGTCACAGTGGAGAAGGGCCAATTGTTAAGAAGTCTAGTACCCAGTTGCAAATGGAGGGGGCTTAGTCCTAGTGTGAGTAGTTTGTCCATCAGGGTTTGGGGGATCATGGTGTTCAAGGCAGATGTGAAGTCCACAAAGAGCATACGGACGTAGGAGTCCTTCTGCTCCAGGTGGGTGAGAGCAGTGTGGACCACAGTTGATCGGTTCTCATGGTATGCGTACTGATGAGGGTCCTCATTGATGTCGATAGTTGTTTTGAAGTGGGTCATGACCAGTTTTTTGAAGCATTTAGTGACTATCAGGGTGAGGGCTACTGGCCAGTAGTCATTCAGACCAGTCACTGTAGAGCTCTTTGGGACTGGGATGATGGTGGCAGTCTTCAGGCAGGTGGGAACCATTGCCAGGGTGAGTGAGGAGTTAAAGATGTCGGTCATATAGGATCAAAGTCAAGGCCCGCAGGCCAAATCTGGTCCTTGTTAAGAATTTATTTGGCCGCCAAGAGAAGATTTAAATGTAGCTCTTAGATTGATTTAGAATAAAAATCAGATTAAATTAAAATGTTATATGTAGGTCTTAGCTCCACTTATTACATCTGCAGTAATGGTCCCCGGTGGCTTTTATTTGTGTGGTCGATTCAGTGTAGAGTACTCGCAGATTACTTAGGTTTATGAAGTTCCCTACCTGGTAGATTTGTCACCACATAAGGTTTTATGGTGCAGAGCGTATTTTATGATAAAAATACAGTATGACGTAGTCACAACCAACTCTTGGAGCTCAGGGTGTAAAAGAAATTAAAGGTGATGCAATTTTCAAGTATGATCTCAGATAAAGTTCAGCCTAAAGACTAGTTGTCAGTGTTCTACTTTTCAATAAATATATAATATACTGATATTGTTGTTTTATTAATCTTAAGAATTTAATAAAATGCACTTCAAATAGCTGGAAAATGCATCGTTTTCAGTAGACATTGTTTTAATTTTCTGTACCCCTGGACCCTCTAGGACAACTTAATTACGCAGGTGCTCACTAAAACATGCACGTCCCTCATTGTCTTCAGCCAATGTTGGCAGGTTTAGTTTAGATTTATGATGTTCTGTTTCAGATTCATCGCATTGTTGTCAACTGTTTTATTTGTACAATCTGTTTTTGTTATATCCGATAATATCAATGAAAAAGCTCTTTACTTTCTTGTGGGTGTGTGAAATTTGGCAGAGAGAATTAAAATATATTCAGGGGCACCACCTCAGATCTTGCCCAGGGCACTGGTTTCTTTAATAAACTGTCTTATGGAATATGACATTATCATTTGCATTTCTGAAAAACTAAACAAAAAAATTAACAATTGTTCGGATGATTTGCTCAATGTATGAAGCCCATCATTTGATAAAGTTGTGTTTAAAGAGCATTCCATTTGTTAATTTTTTTTAATAATTATTATAATAAAAAAATACCAACATGAGATCACTGAGTTGTTAAAATCTTCAGGAGTTTGGCGAGATTGATTAAAAAAAAGTCCTGGTTGTGTTGGTCTGAGCAACATGTCCAAGCCATAGTTAACAAATCTGCACATCAGCTTCTGTATTTTGAATCTTTGCAGGGTGAACATACATTTTACAGCTGTCTGTCTACCTTTGTTTATAACATGAACAGGAAGCAGCCTACCTGAGCCGTAAAGCATGGCCAGCAGTATAGAAGAGATCCAGGCTGTGTCACTGTAGCCAACATCAAACTCCCGGATCAGCTCTTTGAAAAAGACGCTAACAGCTTTAGGGAACGCGTAGGAGAAGCCCGTGATGACAAAACATCCGGCTAGCACCGCCCAGCCCCAACCTCCATCTGGTGCCTTCACACCTGTTGAACTGACATCCACCGCAACGCCCCCCATGGTGCTTTATGGCTGTGTCCTTATGGAGACAGAGACAGAAGCTGGAATAAAGATAAGACGGCAAAAGGTTAAACCTAATTACAAATACAAACATGACGGACACTGAATATCTGCAGTACGCTCACACAAATACATGTTCTCTTTCCAAAGTGCTTCTGTGAAGCAGTTTGGAAGTACTTACTCCACTTTGGAGTCAGCTGTTGGGGGAAGAATCAGTTTTGTGTTGTGTGTTTCCTTGACTGATGAAGCCTTCTGGATTGAAGGCGAAACGTTTCAGCACAAAAAAGAAACTGTCCAGATGAACTGACTGAAAAATGTTAGTCTGGAATACAGTGTTTCATAAATAAGCCACAGTTTATAAAATATGGCTGTGCTAACGTGGCCACATGACTCATTTGGTCACTATCACTCAGAAATCTGCCCAAATGATTCAAAGCCATTCAAGTCACATTTTTTGTGGAGTTATTTCTAATAAGCTTATTTACCTCATAACGTGATTTTAAGTATTTTTTACCCCAAGTTAGCAGACTGATGAAGCGACAGAGTCAGGCGTACAAAAGATAAGTGCTTTATTTACAAGTGCAGGTTTATGTACAGGGATGAAAAGAAAAAGGGGCAAGGTGAGTATTTGTAATTGTCTGAATTCTTGAGGGCAGCACAGTGGATCAGTTGGTAGAGCTGCTGCCTCTCAGCAAGAAGATCTCTGATTCAAATCTTGGCTGGGACCCTTCTGGATGGAGTTTGCATGTTCTCTCTGTGCATGCGTGAGTTTTCTCCGGGTACTTCGGTTTCCTCCCACAGACAAAAACATGGATGTTAGGCTGATTGGTAAATTGTCTCTAGGTGAGTGAGAGAGTGAATGGTTGTTTGTCTCGTATGTCTCTAGGTGTCCCTGTGATGGACTGAGACCTGTCCAGGATGTCCCCCCCCCCCCCCCCATAGTGATGGCTGAATATGGGCACCAGTGGCCCCCATGACCCGAAAAAGAAAGAAGCGAGTAAAGACAATGGAATGATGGATGAATTCTTGAATAGTGGATTTTGTTTGTAGGCAGTCTCTTACTTGTGGTTGTTTTGTAGCTTGTGTTGGAGAGGAGGGAGAGAATGGGGCCTTAAGTTTTCAGTGGAAGAGGAAAGGTGATCCAGATGAGGTGAGTATTGCTGGAGAGAGGAACAGGTTGAGGTGCTCGGTATTTTCTGACCCAGGTTGATGTTTGGTAGTTGCATGAACAAGATGATGACAGGGCGAGGTCACAAGGAGCAAGGAGGTCTTGGAAGACTCGGAGGAGCAGGACTTGGAAGTCACAAGAGAAAACACAAGATTAGTCAAAGTTTTCAAGGAATAGGTTTACCGGCTGTCCGTTAGTTACCATGAGGTATCATAATGCACCAGCATAAGAAGAATGTCTGGCAGGTGTTTAACTACACAGCAGAGCAGTTTTCCAAATCAGGTGCAGGTGTGGCATGATGGATGATTATGATGATCAGCAAATGTGAAGAAAGTGATTGTGGCTGGAAACCTAGGAATCCCATACCTAACAGGCGCAATATGGGAGAGATAATTATTGTCCAGCGCAGAAGAAGAAAGGACAATAATGTTCACGGTTGTGAGTATGCATGCAAGAGTGTGTGTATTTGTTTGACTGCACTTCTACATCTCATTAACAATTTAGTGAACAAAATTCAATACATGTCCTGATGGATGCGCAATAACCCAGCTAGATGAATCTAACAAAGCTGAGTCAGGTCCTCTGGATGAATTCTTCTTTGTTGAAACATTAAATTTTTTATCCAAAAGACTTCTTCAATCTTGACTGGAGAAGTCAGTTAGAAAATTCAATACAGCAGCTAGAGAAAATCTAATTAGTCAAAACTATAAAGACAAGACAAGACAACTTTTTTTATTTTTCCACAAAAGGTAATTCAGTTAGACAGTTTCCAGATTTATAAACCCCCCACCCCCCCACACACACATACATTTGCTCATATACCTAAAAGCAATAACAACAACAACAAAAATGAAAGAAAAACAACATTAAAAGTATTGAATACAATAAGAAACCAACAGAGATCAGCATCACAGTAAAACCACTTTGTAATAAAGCTGCAGGAATAACTCAGAGCTGCCATCCAGATTCAGCAGTCTGATGGCAGAAGGAATCAAGGAGTGAGACAGTCTGTTTGTCTTCATGTGTGGGGCTATAAAGCAGTGGCCTAAATGCATCAGTATAAATTCAGAAGACAGGATGTGGTTCCGTTGGGATACTATTTGCTTACTTATGCAAAGCACTTGTTTCTCCCACAACAACTGCAAGTCCCTCTGCTAGACTAGTTATTTTGGAGCAGGTCTTAATACTCTGAAGGCTGTTCTTATCTGAACAGCTTTCTTGGACTGTGAGGTCTCAGTTTCTGATGGAGGACATTTGTAAACTGAGGTGTACCGCAAACCCACCTACACAGACTAGTATTTGCAGTTTGACTCCCATTACCCTCTGGAGCAAAAGTTAGAAGTCATCTCTTTACCACTGAGAAGACATGCAGCGTTCTCACTAACTCAGGAGCCAGGCAGAAGGAGAAATCCCACACAAGACAGGGCCTAGAGCAAAGTGGATATCCTAACAGGGCCTTCCTGAAACCAGAGAAGAAACCCAACCAGGACTCCAGCAAGCCATCAGGTGAAAAGGAGGAGACCCAGACCAGTTGTCATTCCGTATGTTGCGGGATTTTCAGAGAAACTGAGACATTTATTTTCTAAGCATGACATCCCAGTTGCTTTCAAACGCCAAAATACGCTACAAAGACTGGTCCTTCCCAAAGATCCAGTCCCCCGGCACAAACAGAGTAATATTGTGTATGTTGTTCAGGGTCAGGAGGGCTGTGATCAGTCTTACATTGGGGAAACAAAACAGCCACTGGCCTAAAGTGATGGCCCAGCACAGAAGATCAACATCATCAGGCCAGGACTCGGCAGTTTACAGTCATCTCCAGGCCAGCAGTCACTCTTTCAGGGATGAAGATGTTCACATCATTGATAGAGAGGAACGATGGTTTGAGAGAGGAGTGAAGGAGGCCATCTTTGTAAAAAAAATAAATCCATCATTAAATAGGGGTGGAGGCCTCCGTGTTCACATATCCCCCTCTTACAATGATGTTATTGCTAGTATTGAACAGCCCCCTGTGAATAGCAAGCAGCCATCAGGATGCTAATGATCCAATGTTAGGCTGATGGCCCTCCTTTATCATGTAAACATCTAGTTTTGAATGTCAACAACAAACTGGTTGATCCACAATAAGAAGGTGCTATTTATAAAGGTTCCAACATACTCAGGCGGGTCTCAGGGTGCATTCACACCAGCCCTGTTTAGTCCACTTTAATCGAACTCTAGCTCGTTTTCCTAGAAAGTCCGGTTCGTTTAGGGAGGTGTGAACGCGCCATCGAACTCTGTCACGGAACAAAAAGGTGAACTCTGGCCCAGGCTAAAACCTAGGTCTCGGTCCGGTAGAAGAGAACTCCAGCGCGGTTCGAGTACAGTGTGAATGTAAACAGATCGGGCCCCGCTCCACAAGCAAGAAGTGGAGTACAGCGCAGGGCAAACAAACACACATTTCTCTTACATGGAGCCGTCAGCTGCCTTGTGTGAAAAACAATATTCTCCATGGTCTTCTGTCTCATCTTTCGCTCATGCAGAGTCCATTTTTGAAAAATGACCAAATATAACTCCTAAAACTGCTAAAACTTGATGTCACTCCGTTTTTGTTTTTATTTCCAGAAGAAGAAGAAGAAGTGTCTTCAGAGGTTTTTGTGTCGTTTCTTTCAGTAGTTCTTGGTGCAGCGCCCCCACAGGCGAGTGGGGGAACAGGTTGGTTCAACAGGTTGACTCGACTGCACAATGCAGTGTGAATGCAAACGCACCAGCTCAAATGTAAACAAAAGCCCATGAATATTGGTACTGAACCGAACTGAGTCTACCGGACTATCAGGTGTGAAAACGATCTAAGTCGAACAAAAAGCACAAAAACAAGTGTGATGTTGACATTAAATGCTTTAAGTGTGGAATAAAGGGTCACCGAGCAAACGGCAGACGAAGGACGTGGTACAGTCACTGTAAAACCACCACACACAACAACAACGCATGCAGACATAAGGATTTACAAGATGGCGTGAAGAAGATCTCAAATAGAGCAGCAACAGTTCTGGAGCAGCTGCAACAAACTACATCTTCAGAATCGAGGACGAAGACATCAAGGATCAACATCAGTCATTGCACACCATTAAGAAAAGAAGCCTGTTAGTGGACACTGGAGCCATTTCTCACATCATCAATGATGTGACCAAGTTCAAGAGCTTCAACAGAATATTCAAGCCGGAGACGCACTGTGTGAAGCTGGCAGACGGAACCCTGTGTAAAGGCAACGCTCAACAGAGAGGAGATGCAGAGGTACTCATTATTGACAGTACAGGTCAGCGACACAAAGTAACGCTGAGAGACACACTGTTCATCCCATCGTACCCACAGGACATTTTCTCTGTAAAATCAACCACTACGCTAGGATCCACAGTCACTTTTAAACAAGGCCAGTGAAACTTGAAACATAGAGATGGTACTAACTTTAATATCTTTGAATATGGAAAGTTATATTAACTACAAACTGAAGATGAAAATAATGATAAGTGTAATACCTGTCCTGACATCCAGACACAGACATGACATGAAATTTTAGGTCACTGCACATATGATGACATTAGACCTTTTTCACGACAACCGGAAATAGCATCTCATGGTGCTGGGTTACTTCCGGCTTTCAGGAGTCTATGCAAATTCAAGGCTTTTCTTTCGCTGATGTGGAGGAAATCGCAGCGGTGAATTCTCGAACCAATAAACTTGAGAAAGGATATAAGTTCTTCCACAAAGAATATATCCACAGCTATCAAGGTAAGAAAAGACGTCGCTTAGCAAGCTAACAGTTAGCTACAACACATGAAGTACATAAACATCGTAATAAAGCCTAATTTAGTGTGCTAAATTATTTGGAATATTTGAGACAGACGTGGTATAAACTTTTAACTGATATTTTAACATTCTGATACGTGTTTGCCATTATAATTTGTGAAAGAAAACGTACTAGATGTTAGTTATAAGATACTATGATGCTTGACGTTCAAATTGTGCTTTACTTCTTCATAACTACAGGTCAAATATTGTCGAGGGACAGGTAGTTGTCAGAGCTAGATGCTTCAGGTCCATGAAGAAAAATGAGGAACCACAGACTGCAGGTTTGAAACAGTGAGAACGCTTGTTGGCTCATGTTCATTAGAGTTCCTGTTCATTTATGACAGCTGAAGAACTTTGACATATGATGGACAACTTCTGTACCAAGAGCTTACAGTAACGTCTTCCTGCTCACTGGTTACTGTTTGTGGTAGCAGCAAAGTCTGTTTTGTTCTGCTGATGTTTCAGCTCATCTTCAAACTAGAATCTATTACTTGTTTAAAGCTAAATATGTTATAACAAGTTTCATATGTATGTGCTAAAAACAGTTATCTGTTTTAGATCTCACTGGGTGACAGCAGTAGAAAAACTACGTCAGCTGGAGTCCCAACCACTTATCGCTCTTGTCCTAGATGGTCTAAACTTTGGAGCTGGTACCATCCAGATGTGGTCCTGTGCCACAGGGCTCACTGGTGTCTTACCAGTGCCCACCTGAGAAGTCCTGCGTAGCATCATTCTGCTCCACACTTCCCTGCTCTTCCTCTGATGCTGCAGTCTTCCCGTGTCTTCAGTCTCTGCAAGTGTCACTGGAAACGTCTTATGAAACAGAGGCCAGAAGAACCAGGGAGCAGTCCTGATGTTCTGCAGGAGTACATCTTCTACAACCAAGGCTTACTGCTGTTTCCATGTTGCAGAAGAAGTGTGGAGTCTGCTGACATGTTTTACTTCAACACCTTCATCCATGTGTTTATATCAATGCAGTACGAATCATAAAATGCACAAATCACACTTTTGTTCCTTCATATTTTTAATATTCAGTCTCAAGCTGTGAATCACTGTAAATACTGTAAATAGTTGTTACTCATGAAAAATACATAAATGTGCCAATTTATTTAAAATGAAATTGCATAATTTTGGGAAAAATATCTATAATCCACTATCAATTTATAGTGCACAGTTAAAATGTTAAATAGTTAAGTTTTTTTTTTGTTTTTACTAGATATTGTAAATTACACTTGTTTTCCTTTCAATACAACTGAATCAATCCACAAATTAAATAAATAAATAGTACAGTATGCTGCTC